TTACTCCAAGAAAAACAGCTAGAACTCCAAGACTAGCTTTGTCCACTATCATCACTCATCAGTCAGTGCTTGTCAGTTCCCCAGCTCTATACTATAGCCAATGAACTTTCTTTCAGAACAAAACATAGCACTTCTCCTTTTTATAGACCTCCCCCAGGCTTGGCGCCTGTAGCTCAGTGAATAGTGCACCAGCCATATACACCAAGGCTGGCGGGTTCGAGACCGGCCTGGGCCTGCTAAACAATAATGATCACTGCAACCAAAAAAAAAGGGAAAGAAAATAGCCGGGCATTGTCATGGGCGCCTGTAGTCCCAGCTACTTGGGAGACTGAGGCAAGAGAATCACTTAAGCCAAACAGTTTGAGGTCGCTGTGAGCTGTGAGGACATGGCACTCTACCAAGAGCAACATACTGATACTTTGTCTCAAAAAAAAGACAAAAAACCCCAAATACCTGAGTATGGTGGCTCACTCCTATAATCACTTTGGGAGTATGAGGTGGGAGTATCGCTTGAGGCCAGATTTTTGAGACCAGCCGAGCAATATTTTTCTCTAGAAAAAAGTAAAAAAAAAAAACAAAAAAAAACATTAGCCAGACATGGTAGGGGTGTGCCTATGGTCCTAACTACTTGGGAGGCTGAGGCAGGAGGATCACTTGAGCCCAGGAATTCCAGAATACACCCCAGCCTGAGTGACAGTCCTGTAAAAAATAAAAAAAATAAAAAAACTCCAGACTTCTCTTTGTTCTTACAAAAGAACTACACCATCTGTGTATCTGTCCCAAACTGCAGCTCTTGCTTCCTGAATAAAACATTTTAAATTTAGAAATTCATCTCTGTATTTTATTTGACCTTACCAGCATTTACTACAATTTTCAGTGAAGTTTCCATTTATTGTTCACTTTCCCCACTAGGCTGTGCCCTCCACTAGACCCCTACCGCCTCCCCCACTAGACAGTGAACCATCTAGTAGACTGTTACAGAATGTTTGTGTCCCCCCTCTCCCCAGCCCAGAATTCATACATTGAAACCCTAAACCCTTGTGTGAATGTATTTGGAGATGGGGCCACTAAGGAAGTGATTAAGGTTAAATGAGGTCATAAAGGTAAGTCCCTGATCCAATAGGATTAGCGTCCTCATAAAAAGAGACATCAGAGAGCACCCCCACCCATGCCTGCACCTGCACTGAGGGGAGATGTAAGGACCCAGAGGGAAGGCTAACCTGCCAGCCAGCGACAGCCAGAAACCCACCCTGCTAGTTGGTAATCTGGGAGGAAATAAGTACCTGTGGTGTGGGCCACTCAGCCTGTGGCGTTTGTTATGCAGATCTAGCAGACTGAGCCACATGGACTTCTTTGCTTGCTCACCACCTTCTTCCCACTTCCTGACACAGAACTCACCACATGGCGGGGACTTGGTAAATACTTGTTGATTGAATGAGTGACTTTTCCTATTTGTACTGCATTGCAAGGCACCCGGGAAGTGGTGAAAGCAACAGACCTAAGCTGGGTTGAAGTCCCTCTCTCACTGTCAAGTCATTATTTACTTCTCGGGCTCTTTTCCCATCTCTGGGCCTCAGTTCCCCAGTGGGGAAGGTAGGACAACTCAGCAAGATGGCCTTCTAAGTTCCCTCTAGGGACTGTGACCCAGGCACTGGACTTGTTCATTTTCACTTTTAATTCTCTCTCCAGCAGAGAACAGTGATCACCAAAAAGGGATGAGCTTTGTTAGCATAATAAACATTGCCTTGAGATTATGCCCTTTGAGCTTTGAGGGCTCAACATACTCTCTCTTTCCTTTCCTTTTCCTTTTTTTTTTTTTTTTTTTGAGACAGTCTTACTACGTTGCCCTCGGTAGAGGATGGTGGCTTCCCGGCTCACAGCAATCTCAAACTCTTGGGCTTAAGCAATTCTCTTGCCTCAGCCTCCCAAGTAGCTGGGACTATAGGTGCCTGCCACAACACCCAGCTATTTTATTGTTGCAATTGTTGTTGTTGTTTTTCAGCTGGCCCCAACTGAGTTTGAATCCACCAGCCTCAGTGCATGTGGCCAGCACCGTAATCACTGTGCTACAGCTGCCAAGCCAAAAATACTCTTTCTTTCAAAAAATGATGTTGATATTTTACAAGTCCTTAAAGAAACAAATGAGAATTTGACCATCTGTGCCAGTCCTTCAAATTTATTTGGAACTGTGACCAACGCATGAAGTTCCAGTCTTGAATGACATAAAGTATGCACGTGGAAGGGATTCTAATTATTTTTAGAGTTCCTACCATGCACTAGTCAAGCGGAGGAATACAGAACAACTGAATTACAGCTTCACAGGTACATTGCAAGGGGCCTGAATTCAAATCAAAACTCTGCCTCTGGTCCTCACCTTAGACAAGTGAAATAACTTCTCTGAGCCTCAGTTTCCTTATCTGGAAAATGAGAGTAATAACAGTGCCTACCTCATGTAACACTTAGTCTAGAGCTTGGCATATAGAAAAGACCTAATAGCTGTGAGCTACTACTATCATTATTATTTAGGTGGGGGGGGGTCACAGTAATCAGCCTGGGCTATGAGGAGGTACCTGAGGGGACAAGGGTGGGGTGGTGAATACCCTTCTGGATAGGGGTTTCATTTTGTCTCTAAAGTCTCCAGCTTCTAGCCCAAAAGAATACTAGCATTCACTTCTACCAGATTATATGACCTCGGGCAAATCATTTCCCAGCTTTCTGCTTTGGGTCTCTAATCTATTAAGAAGGAAGCAATTACTCCCACTTTCCACAGGATAGTGGAACTCAAACTTTGGCCAGTATCAGCATCACCTGAGAAACATGGAAAAAATAGGTCCAAAGGTCCACATTCTACCCCACTTCAACAAGTCCAAGTCTGTGTTTATCATCTCTCCAGATGATGTGATTGATACACACTATGGTTAAAAACTGCCATAAAAGAATGAAAGGAACGAGGCTTTCTATTTACAGATTATAAGGGATTATTAAGATTATATCACCCTTTATGGTGATGTCAAGGCCATCCTTATATAGGTTGCTCGTGCCCACCCCCCAAAGGGAGATGGGTCAGAAGACCCCTCCCAAGCCCCTGGCGTCTTCACACCTTTCCAAGTAAGCTACAATCTGGTACCCACTGCACAAAGGGGAAAAGGAGGCTTGCAGAGGAGGAATACCTTCCCCCAGGGCACAACAGTTTCATGGTAGAGCCACAGTGGAGCCCAGGTCTCTGGATGGCTGGGCCATCAGTGATAGAAGGGCTTATTTTCCATGACCCCAACGGGAGAAGCTCCCTTGCTTGCTAACAGGTGGTGCAACAAGTTGGGGGTGTAGCCCACCCCATCCTGTAAACTTTGTTTTCCGCTGACAAGGCCTGGAAAGGGCCCCGGGCAAACACTGATATTCCAGTAGCCCCTTTCAGAAAGGTTTGAAGATTAACTCAGGGTTCTTCTCACAACCTGGAAAGGAAGGCAAAGATGAGCTCATATCCACATATCGCAAGCTCCCAGACGATCTTATTTACTGATCACATGGCCTGATTAGGAACAGAGCTCTGTGGGTGCCATGAGATGTGAGACTAGAAATTAGGATGCAGCCTGCTCCTCCACAGACCAGAAGGACTGCCACGTAGCGCTGCCAGACGAGGCGACATGACACTTCTCAAATCATAGCTAATGTTTCAGCTGACTTGGGGAAAGGAATTTGAAGGGTGGGGCCACAAGCAAGGTGGGCTGCATAGCGGTCACAGTTGTAGGCTGCAGACATAGAAAGACCTGGCTGGGGCTACCACAGGGTCTGCTGAATTCTAGCTGTGACCTTCTGCAAGTTATTCTTCAACTCTCTGAGCCTGGATTTCCACATCTGAAAACAAAGTCATGAAGCTACCCAGGGAAATAGCCAGGCTTTGTGGAGCCTGAAGCGCATATGACTGGGGAGAGAGTAGTGGTCAGGGGTGGGAAGGGCCTCTTGAAAGAAGAAAAATACAAAATTACACATTCAAAATTGCATGTGGGACCTGGGGAAGAGCCCCGTGTAAGGGAGGGGCCTGACAATCTGTCTGAGATGCCACCAGTTACCAGTGAAATATTTAAGCAAAGCTCCTGCCACCTAGTAAGCCCTCAGGAAATGTTAGTTTGAGGGATGAGATGATGGAGGGGATAGTGGTGTGGCTTGAGTAAAAGGCTATAATTTTGAGGGAGTTCATCTGCATGGAAGCACAGATAATGACAGAGAACGGGATACTAGAGAAACGCCCAAGACGTCTTTAGCTGCAAAGTTCTATCCTGGATGTCATATGTGACCTTAGACAAATCACACTCTCCTAGTGTCAGCATCCTGCCAGGAACATGTGGCTGGAAGTCATACAGTTTCTGCCTCTCCTTCATTTCCAAAAGAACACCTTCTACTCGTTCCAGAGAGCCTTGCAAAGCTAAGAAGCACTTAGAGATAAGTAAGTGATTGTACGTGTTTTTCCAACTTAAGGAAAGGGAGATCCGGGAAGGAATGGAAACCCCCACCCTGAGACAGGTAGAGGAAGTGTGTAGGTATTTTCTTGGAGGAATTAATAGACTATTAGTTAAAAACCCTGACAAGTTGGGCTCTGAGCCTGAGGCTCTCGCTTTTTAGCAGTGTGACCCCAGGTAGATTCCTTTATTTCAAGAAGCCTCAGTTTCCTCATTTAATTGACAGAATTAAATGAGAAAATATAGATAAAACACTCAGAGGAGTGTGCTTATCCTTTAGTAAAGTGCTCTTGTCATTAAGATTGTCAGTAGTGTAGCTGCTGTTACTACTGTTACTGAGAAGTATCAGTGAGTGAGCGGGTGACTCCTTTCCCAATTCCCTCCCCTCCTGCCTGCTCCTCCCAGGAGTCCTCTGCCACTGGCTTCTTCAGGCAGGCGGCAACGCCTTCTGGGGAGGTGGGTGGAGCCTCAGGCCAGCTTGGCCAGAGCCACTTAAGGCACGAGGCACTGAGCCGGGGTGTACACCTGAACTAGATACCTTCCTGCTCACCTTCTTCCAAAGCAGACCTCCTTGTCACCTTGAGCTTTCCCTTTCTAAAGCAGTCATGTCTGTGACAGAACGTGCTGGGGGTCCCCAGGGAACCGTGGCCCTCAAACTGGACAGTATGTCATCTCCTGAAAGTGCCAGGAAGCTGCAGAACAAGGACTCCGGGTTTTTGGATGGAAGTCCTTCAGAGTCGCAAGACTTGGAGAAGACCAAGGGCATAACGTGAGTGCTGTTTCTTACTATCCCTATTTCTGCCCTCCAGCCTGAAGCTTGCATTGGCAAAAAATCCGGAGGTGGGTGTGTTTGACCCATTGTACAGATGAGGAAACTGATATTGCAAAGGGTGTACTCAGAGGCCAAGTCAAGATGAGAGCAAAATGATGCAGTGTAGAGACTGACAGAAAAGCCCTTTGGGACGTAGTGACCCAATCCCCAATGCGTGTAGAGGGGAAACTAAGGACCAGTTACCCCAAGCCACATACATAGGTACTGGAATCCACCACTGGCCTTAAAGTAATTTCTTTTGTTCCTGTTAATATTGGGGGGAAAGGCAGAATCCTTAACTTCTCAGAGGAGAAGGTGAGTCCTGAGCTTTAAACCACAGTGGCCTCACTGACAACTAAGCATTACCTCTTTCCTGTCCCTTTTCTATAGTATGCCCAGCCTTTATTTTAATTAAGAATTGCAGTGATGACACCAAAAAGCCCAGTATATAGACAGTTCTAGTGTTCACCATTTTCTAGGGGGTAGGGAGGAGAAGTCATTCATAAGGCTTTAGAATATGACAAAGAGGGAATCCAAGCTGCAGGCTCCAGCTCCCTTTCCCCAAACCTGACCCCACCACTCAGCCAGACTAGCTGAGATCATTTAGGAAGAAAGTAAAGGGATTCTGCTGATTTAAGAAGAAAGTTTTTGCACTATTGGCACAGCAGAGCACTGGACAGAGAATCAAGAGGCTTTGAATTTGAGTTGTGACTCTGCTCATTTTCTTCTCTGAGTCTCAGTTTCCTAAAATGCAAAATTTGGCTAAATTGGTGGCTGTGTGAATTAAAAGAGGATGCTTATGGGAATGAAATCTCAAGGTGTGTGTTCGAGGTGCAGCAGGCAGGGACTTTCAGGGGCAGGCAAAGCTCCTCTCCATAGCCAACCCTCAGGACACTTGAGGGACAGACCTAATGTAGCCCGAGAGCATGGGGTCTGGTGATTCCCCAGGGTGAGAAATTAAGCTGTGTAGGCCTTGGGGCCATCCATTGCTGAGTAGAGGCATTTCTCAATCAGAGGCCCTGAGGAAACAAACTCTTGTGTTCTGAATTGATACAAGGTTTGATGGCAATATCAGCTTTGTAAGAATTGAAGGAATAAAGTGAGTGAGAGCTAGGGAGCACAGGTGGCTTGGAGAGAACCATATAGCAGGCTGAGTAAGCATGGCACCTAGAGGATCGGCTCCCCTGGGCTCAAATTCCCATTTAGCTGCTTACCAGCTTGAGCCACTGACAGAGATTCTCTGTGTGCAGTTTCCCCTCTGTGAAAGGACAGTACTCCTCCCAGGCAATTTGAGCATAAAGCCCCCAGGGCCAGTGCTCCTTAGCACCTGCTCCTGTGAATGTGAAGATGGCATGAGGTTACCAAAAGAGTTAGGGCTAGAGGCCACAAGGGAGCAGGGTCCGCTAAGACCTGTGGAAACTGGCAGGCACCGACTGAAAAAATAAAGTTAGAAACGACGGTAAAGAAAGACATGAGACTTAGAGTAGAATTAAAGGTGGGAGCTCAGGGGTCCATTGCCCACCTGTGAGCTTCTGGCAGTGGCACCGAGTGTTTGCTCCACTCAGCTTTTATTGAAGTTTATTTGCCCAGAGAGTAAAAGAAGGGCGGGAACAAGGATGCCAGCAGATTCTGAGTGAGCAGGACAGCTGCTATTGTTATTGTTATTAACCTTAAGAGTAGCCTTGAGAAATCTGAAATCTGAGCCTTGTATTGGGGGAGCCTGCCGCTTGAGATCACATGCACAGATTTCTAGGGAGGTGTTAAATTCTACTAGTTCCCTCTGGAGTAAAACGCCACTGGAGTTAATCTCCTCTGAGGAATTGGCGGGAGGGCGGAATTTTCCTCCCATCGCCACCACAGAAGATTTTCCTCTGTTATAAGGGATATAAGCTCTTCTGCCCATATGTCAGGGCTCCAGCTACTCCCTTGATCTCTGCCCCAGGAAGATGCAAATCTCCACAGTGGGTATCTGCTTTGCCCTTTTCTAGGCAGGAAAAGACCCAGTTAATGTATCTTTCTAGGTCTTTGCCATAGTCTCTTCTATGGCCATTTGTCCTCAGCGGCTCACAGACCCACCAGGGTGTTTGTAAGCTGTATCCCCAACAGGCTAGAATTTCAGAAAAGGCAGGACGCTTGCTAGCAATGGCTAGCTGAAAGGCAAACGAGCTGACTTTTCTTTGTTTCAACTCACTCAGCTTACTTGTTAATTTTCCTCTAGTTCTGGGGGTGTTTTCCCTTGCCCAGAACGGGGTCTTCCATCCCCATTCTCCCAGCAGCCACATCTTCGCATGACTCACCACACTATGTTTTTAAGTTAGCCGAGTGGTCCAAAGTTAAAATTCCAATTTCCTAAGTCCTTTAGTTAGAAATTTCCAAAGTGACCCAATGACCCTTTCCTGGTTGCAAAACAAGCCCATCACTGGCAGAATAGGGCGCAGTGCTCAGTCAGCAATGTTGACACCCACAGGGAGAAAGGCATGCGAGACTCTCCACCCCCTTTCTCCCGCGATTGTTCTCTTTAACCCTTAGCAAATCTACCAGCAGATCCTCAGGAAGCTAAAGGATCAAGGGCTTTATCATAAAGATACAGGGGTTTGGGGTAGTCCTTTCAAACATGTTGCCGAAGATGACACAGCTAGTTTAAGCAGTGGCACCTTTCAGTTTTCATCCCTGGCTTGTCCAACCCCAAGGAGCTTCTTCCAGGATACCTCTGCTACTTTTCAAACTAGCTGAAAGGCTCTTGTGGGGAATTTTCTAGAGTTGTACCTGTAAACCCAGGAACCACCTTGATTTAACCTGGTCCAGGTACAAAAAGTTATCGAAATAGGTTTGTTTGGTGATCCAGCAACAGACAGGGTACTTCCCTGGAACTTTTTCTCCTGATGATTTAGACTTGGTCCTCTGGACCAATCTTCACATTTGTCTTAAAGAAAGGGTCTGAGTCTTTGTTTTTGTTTGGGGGTGGGAGAAGCCGTGCATTCCCTGGCCTTGATGCTCTAGGCTGAAAACAATAACAACAACAAAAAACCTCTGGAGCCCAATCCCTAAATGACTCTGTGCCACTAGCCATCTAGAGATTCAAGCCATCTGACCTGTTTATTCAGAACTCACAATGATTTGCTCTTTTCTCTGAGTTCAACCCTGTCCTCCTACCAGTTTTATGACTTTAAGCTAGTCACTGCCCCCTCTCTGAGCCTCAGTTTCCCCAGTTATGATAAGGGACGTTCTCTTCCTCATTCTGCCTGGGTTAATAATCTCCAGGAGACAGCTCAGCAGAAAGAGTGAAAAACAGAGATGCTGAAGCAGCCCTGGGCTCAAATCTTGGTGCCCTGATATATTAAAAAAAACTCTGTGCCTCAGTTTCTTCCCCTGCAAGATGATAAAAGTATCTACTTCATAACCTTTACAAGAGGATTAAATGAGATAATACACATAAAGTACTTAGCATAGTGTTTTGCTTAGTGACTGTTATAAAGGCCTATATATAGTTAAGTATCCTGCTAAAACCAGGACACTTCTGGGCAAATCTGGATGATTGGCCATCGAAAAGGAGACCCACATGTGTCAGGCAAGGACGCAGGGACTGAAAGATGGCCAGGAACCCACCTAGAGGGAAAGACAATGGGATCCCGTCCCCTCTACCGCACCCCAGCTTCATATTCCTTCCTCTCCTTTAGGTTGTTCCAGACCTTGATTCACCTGTTGAAAGGCAACATGGGCACAGGGGTCCTGGGACTACCTCTGGCTGTGAAGAACGCGGGCATCCTGGTAAGAGGGGATGCCAGAGATTGGACCACTCTGACCAGTTGTGAAAGGGAGATGGGAGAAGAAGCTCTCATGGTTTATTTTTATTTATTTATTTTTGAGACAGTGATTCACAGAGATGTCACCCTCACTAGAGTGCTATGTCATCATAGCTCACAGAAACCTCAAACACTTACGGTGTCACAGCTAACAGCAACCTCCAGCTCTAGGGCTTAGCTGATTCTCTTGCCTCAGCCTCCTGAGTGTTGTGACTACAGGCGCCCGCCACAACGTCCAGCTATTTTTTTTGTTGCAGATTGGCCGGGGCCGGGTTTGAACCCACCACCCTCGGTATATGGGGCCAGTGCCCTACTCACTGAACCACAAGCGCTGCCCAGAAACCTCAAACTCTTGGGCTCAAACCATTCTCTTACTTCAGGCTCCCAAGTAGCTGGGACTACAGGTGTCTGCCATAATGCTTTTGGCTATTATTTTTGAGACATGTTTGAGCTGCTATTTTTTGTTATAGCTGTCATTGTTGGTTACCTGGCCCGGGCCAGGTTCAAACCCACCAACTTCAGTGTATGTGGCTGGCACTGTGCTACAGGCACCAGGCCAGTTCTCATGGTTTTTAACAGCCTGCAACAAGCAGTCTTTTGAGGAAGGAGCTTGATCCAGACTTAGGGTCTAGACCAGTGCTCTTCAACCTTCTTTATCTCATGGCACACTTGAACCTATAGTTAAACCTCCATGGCACACTTAAATTATGTTGATTTTTTTTAAAGAGTAAGAAAAGAAATATACCTACTATGCTTGAAACTTCTCTCTAAAATAATTTAATTAATGATCTTTAAAAATTTTCACAGCACACCTAAGATTCTCTCATGGCACACTGGTTGAAAATCACTGGTCTAGGCTGGGTGCTGTGGCTCACACCTGTAATCCTAGCAATCTGGGAGGCCAGGGCAGGTGGATTGCCTGAGCTAGAGACCAGCCTGAGCCAGAGCAAGACCCCATCTCTAAAAATAACCGGGTGTTGTGGTGGGCACTTGTAGTCCCAGCTACTCAGGAGGCTGAGGCAAGAGAATTGCTTGCACCCAAAAGTTTGAGGTAGCTATGAGCTATGAGACCATGGCACTCTACTGAGGGTGACAAATATCAAGACTCTGTTTCAAAAAAAAAAAAATCACTAGTCTATACATTTAGCCTGGGCTCAAGCTATGGCTCTGCCACAGACTGCAGTGGCCTTGGCAAGTCATCTGTCTACTCTCTGAGCCTCAGTTTCCTCTCTTGTAGAATATAAGCCTTGGACTATGACCAGCTTTTCAATTATACTCTGTAGAACTCTAGGTCACCTTGGGGAAGCCTCACAGGCCACTTGGGACACATATAGTCAGGATTCTGGGCCCTTTACTCCCAATGCTATGCCCCCTTGTAATTGCTATCTATGTTATTGGAATACTATTTGAGATTATATTTGAAAAAAAACTGCTGCTAATATAAAGGAACTTTCAAACCAATTTTCTAGAAACTTAATGAAATCTGTACTTCCATATTCCTCTGTTCAGTGTTCTTCATAACCCCTTCTCTTCTCCCTTGCCCTGCCCTGCCCTGCCCCTCCAGGTGGGCCCACTCAGTCTGCTGGTGATGGGCTTCGTCGCCTGCCACTGCATGCACATCCTGGTCAGGTGTGCCCAGCGCTTCTGCCAAAGGTGAGGAAAACGGTGCCCTTGTGTCAATTCCCTTGGCATATGGTTCTCTTGTACTTTGCAAAGCATCCTACATACACATAGTAAGAACTGACTTCTTAATTTTCTCCAATAAGACCAAGAAGGAGTGAAGAGCATTTAGGGATAGGGAACTCCGGTGAAACTCTGCCATGTGGCTCCCTGGGTGATCTCAAGTCAGGCCATTATACTTACCTGGTTGCCTTATCTGTAAATAGTGTTTAAACAATCTATGCCTAACCCTGCCTCCAAGAATTGCCATGAGGATCCAATGGGATCATGGATATAAAAATGACAGTACCCACTCAAGGTATGCATTATTACTCCTGCTATGTAGTAACCACAGCACTTAACAGGCAAGAAAAACTGGTCACCAAGGAATTGCTGCCAGGTGTCAAAGCCTAAATTAGAACTTGGATCTCTGCCCCAGGGTTCTTTCTTTTCTCTGTGTCCTACCTTGCTCTGCATCTCTTGATTTTTGAGTATATGATCTCAGGTTAAACTGTCCCTGGGGGACTGTCTACACACTCTCTCCTGCAGGTTTAACAAGCCCTTTATGGACTACGGGGACACGGTGATGCACGGACTGGAAGCCACCCCCAGCTCCTGGCTGCAGAACCATGCCCACTGGGGAAGGTACCTTGTTCTGGCTTTGTCCACAGTTGGGGAGGGTATGAGAGGAGAAAATGCTGCTGTCGGGGATGCCTTCTTCCCTGGCTCACGTGGCACAGAATGTTAGACGTTCCATGTGGACAGGGTCCCTCGGCAACATCCTTGATCCAGCCCCACTTCTAGTACACGTCCCATGACAGGGTGCTCATTCCTTTGCTATGGGGCTTTAAGATTGTCCACTCTTTTATAAACCTCATTGATCCAGCTGTTACCATGTCCCAGGCCCTGGAAATGCCTGGGAGGGCGGGGAACAAAACAAACAGCCAGACTTTGCTCTCACAGAACCTATAGTCCAGTGGGAAAGCAGACATTAAATAGCTTAGAACACAATTATTTCCTAAGCACTGGGATAAGCATGATGAAGGAGAGAGGCCCTGATGACCATGGAGCAGGTAAGGAGATGTGTGTCGGCTGCGGGGAGAAGGGGGCTTCCTAGAGGGAACAGATGAGATGAATCCCAAGAATGAGGAATTACCTGGGCAAACAGGCAGGGACATGGAGGCCCTGCTAGGAAGGAGGGAGAGTAGATGTGAATGCCCTGAAGTGGGCAGTTAATTGTGACACTCTTAAGGCACAGAAAGACCAGGTAGCTCCAGGGCAGAGAGTGAGGGAGATGGAAATGAAGGAGTCAGGGGCCTTATCAAGCTGTACATTTTAGACTCTCTTAAAGGTTTTGTTCTTTTCTTAAAGGCAATAGGAAAGCTTTGGAGGATTTTAATCAGGGAAGTCATCATATTTGCAGTGTTTTAAGATCTGTCTGTCTTCTGTGAGGAGAATAGAATTTACGGGAGTGAGAGTAGATTGAATCAGATCCACAAGGAGGCAGTGGACAACAGTGGCTGTGACAAATCTGGTGGCAGTGGGATTGAAGAAAAATTGACTTGGTCATGAATGGGATCTGGGGATTGAGAGAAAAGGAAAGAGTCCTGGTTGACTCAGATTTCTGATAGCTTCTATGTGGGGCAAGTTCGGTCTCAGGTACCTGAGAGACATTCGTGTGAAGTCAAGTGGGTGTGTGTAGGTTTGAACCTATCTTCAAGCAGGAGAGCAGAATGGAAGTCATCAGCCGTGAAGCCATGGGCAGAAAAGGTCTTTTAGGGAGAAGTGAAAAGAAAAGAGATGAACTAACCCAGACTTTTAGGACCCTTTGGTGAGCTGAATGAAGTCTTCCTCTCTGAAAATCCCACAATTTGGCTCTCAGAGATGACACAGAATGAATCAACGCCCTTCGTCCTGGTACTTAGGACTACATCTGCTCCTTTGTTTTTGTTTTCAGATCTGTCCCCACCCTGCCTACCTCCTCTTTTTGAGCACCAATTCTAGATTGTCAAAGTCTCTCTTGAACTATGATATCCCAAAACTGTAGTGCTTCTGGTGTGCCTCTGCCATAGTCTAGATGGCATCATGGGGCTGCATCACCCTTAGCCCAAAGCCCATGCTCAACAAAGTCAGCCTGTGAGCAGACTCAGAAGGCCATGGGATAATGTGAATGTGTCACTTCTTCCCCTTCTCCTAAAACTGTTCTTCCTTCTGAGTTTCCCACTTCATTTTGCTGTCCGTGCCAAAAGCCTATAAATCACCTTAGATCATTTCCTTTCCCTTCCTCCCTGCAGATAGGATCACCACGTTCTATAAATTCTAGGTCCCTACTATCTCTTAAAATGCTTTAACGCTGTCATCCTAATGACCATGTTTTTGGCCAGGCTGCTGTCATCTTTCATCTCCATTATTGAAAGATTCTCTTTTCCATTTTCCTGCCCTCATTCTTGCCCCTCCAATGGACTCCCCATGTGGCAGCTAGAAAAATCTTCTTGCTTCCCCTCCTCCTCCCCTTCCTTCTTCATCTTATTTCTTTTTTTTTTTTTTTTTTTTTTGTCTCCCTCTCTCTTTCTTCTTTTCCCTAGAAGAAAAGGGAAACATACCTTTCACTCAGGTATGTTTTTCTAAGAAGGCTTTCTGCCTGCCCATGATTTGGTTAAAATGCCCTTCTACCTAATGCCATATTAAGATCATTTTTGTCCATCTCACCCACTAATCTATAAACCACTGGAGGAAGGGACCGTGTGTATCCTCAGTCCCTAACCTGGTGTCTGGCATATGGTAGAAAATAAATTTGTAATGTTAATGATAGCTAATAGAAGCACTGCGCCTACTGTCCCACATTAATTAATATTAATTACGAGGAATCCTGCAGAGCCAGGTATTGGGGGAGGATCCTGACCACGAAGATTTTACCACTTGCTGAGCTGAGACTGTGAGGGTATTTGAAAACCATTTATTAAAAGGAACTGTTGTTACACCACTTCTTGGCCCCATTTATTGATTATGGTAAAAGGACTGAGGGGGCTGGTCAAGGGCCCCAAAGCTCTGGGGACAGAGGGCAGAATGGCAAGAAATGAAACCAACAAGTCAACTTTTTTTATAACCAGTTCTCTCTCTCTCTCTCTCTCTCTCTCTCTCTCTCTATCTCCCGCCCTTCTAGGCACATTGTGAGCTTCTTCCTTATCGTCACCCAGCTGGGCTTCTGCTGTGTGTACGTTGTGTTTCTGGCTGATAATTTAAAACAGGTAGAGTCTTCTAGAGAATATGGGAGATAAAAAGGCATGGACAAGAAGGCTCCTCTGCTAGTTGTTTATTTAACAAGTTGCTTTTTCTGTCAACCGACATAAGAAGTTAAACTAGATATCATCAAAGAACTTTGCCTGTTCACATATTTGTGGATTTCTGCGTGGTTACTTTTGCCACAATACCCTTTGTCCTGTATCTTGGACCTGTCCTCAAGATTAGTCTCTAACAGGTGGTGCCTGTGGCTCAGTGGGTAAGGGTCCAGCCCCACATACTGAGGGTGGTGGTTCAAACCGAGCCCCGGTCAAACTGCAACAAAAAATAGCCGAGTGTTGTTGTGGGCACCTGTAGTCCCAGCTACTTGGGAGGCTGAGGCAAGAGAATCACCTACGCCCAGGAGTTGGAGGTTGCTGTGAGCTGTGATGCCACAGCACTCTACCAAGGGCGAAAAAGTAAGACTCTGTCTCTACAAAAAAAAAAGATTAGTCTCTAACATCCTATAGCAGAAGGATCCTTGGATTTTGTCAGTCTCTTGCCTTGAAGCTTAATTAGTCTTATGTTTCTAAAATTGATATGGGCTTTTTTGTGATGATACCTGACCTTCATTACGCTATCTTTTTTTAACCTATACCTACTTAATCGATGGCTTAACAGCTGTTGTCCCTAGGAAGTCTTCTTGATCTAATTTTGAAGTTACCTTACAGCAATTTGAGCAAAATAATATGTAATGGAAGCCTGCCTTAAGCAATACACTTTAAAAAGAAAAGTATTTTTAAGGGCTCTTTTTCTGCTTATAGCAGTTAAACAGGAAACAGAAATGAAAAGAAGTTGGAAAAAAGAAGTAAGAATTCAGAATTAGCTTCTATTATGTCAGGTACAATGCTGACCATTTTACATACTTTTCCTCACTTCATCATGACCTTATTGAAGAAGGTACTGTGATTATTCCTACTTTGCAGATGAGAAATTGAGGTTATAAACTCTATAATGTATAATGTAATGAGGTTATAAACTCTATACAGAACCAAGGTTAAAAACCCAGGCCCATGTGACACCAGAGCTCAAGTTCTTAAACACTATCCTGTATTTATTCTCCAAAGAAAACAAAATAAAATAAAATTACACCCAGTCCAACTCCTCCTGGTCAGAATTTAACATTCACCAGTTAGCATCCTATAATGTCCTTATATTTTTAACATAATTTGTAATAGTTTCATAATATTCCATCGTACAGATTGACCATAACTTAATAGATCTTCCAGCACTGAATATTTGTTTTCCTTCATTTTTGCACTAAAATCTTTTGCAATGGCACACAAGTCTTGGTGTACTACTTAATTTTATTACTTAAAGTAAAATTACTGAGTCAAAGAGCTTGATTGTTTTGAAGACTCTTAAAACATATCACAGACCTATAAATACTGTCTGCATTTACTTTTATCTGCACTGGTTTATCATCTGCATTGACTATCAGGCAAGCACTGTCTTAAGGAGTTTACAGGCTAAGTGGGGTGTGTTCTAGAACCTAAAAAGTTAAACATCAACATGATATTTTGGTGCCAGGTCAGGATGCCAATAACACCCTAAGGTCAGAGGTGCTAATTGTAAACTACATGGCCGCGTTCACTGGAGCAGGGAATGTTTCCTCCAGGGGGGTGCCTCTGAGCTGGGTGTTGAAAGGCAGGTTGGAAGGAAGCAAGAGAAAGTGGCAGAAGGGACTAGTGAAAACCTGGAGGCAGGAGAAAGTATAGGCCGTGGGAGAGGAAGAGCCTGTAAGTTGGATAGAGCCCATTTTCCTACCGTAGCGAGGAATCAAAAAACCACGATTGAACGTTTCATTTATGTATCCATGGTATGTCGTTAGGTGAAGAATGAATTTTAAAATAAAAAGATTTCAGTCTTATAAAATAAAAAGAAAGAAACAACAAGTCAACTTTTTTTATAACCAGTTTTCTGTAGCTACCCTTAGGTACTAAACTTATCAATGCTTTTACATCTTCTTCCTGCTTGACTTTAGTTTCTAATAATTCTGCAGAGGACAGTATTGCTTATTGCTTGTACAATAAAACTGTATCAGTTAAGTCATGATGATTTTAAATGGAGGGTGGTACCATCCGCCCACCCCAACTTTGCAAGGAGGTGTTTATTTTATGTGGGGATATTCTTATTTATCACAGTGGTTGGGAGACACTAATGGCTTTCATGGAGTGGAGCCCATACCAAGTGTTCTACAACAAATGGTCCAATCCATACAAGGAAGAGTTTTCTCATTCAAAATGCTGATATCGGTCCAATTACAAAAATAATAGGTGTACGGGTTAATGAAGAAACAGGAAGTGATGGGAGATTTTGGTTACACGCAAAAGAAACATTCTAGGAGAAGTTCAGTGGAAGGACACACATATTAGCTAACTTACAAAATTAAAAAAACAGGTCTCAAAAAGAACAGGAACCTGGACAGCGAGGAGGGTAGGATAGTAGGAAGAATGAGGGATCTCCTCAGGGATCTATTGTCAGAGTTAATTTTTACCCTTTCTCTAGTTCTGTCCTTGTGTTACTTTACTTCAGATTTAGATTCCAATTCCTGGGAGGGATTCTGAATGCCCTAGTTTGAGTCAAAGGCCAATCCTTTAGCTCTGTCTTGTGATAGTGATTTATAGTCCTCCAAGGCGGCATTCAGTGGCCAGAGAGAATTCACCAAAAACAAGTCAATATCAGGGGAAATAGATTCTGGGTTGACAAAAGCCAACAAACAGCTCCTGTAAATACCGTTATCATTTTTTATTAAAAAGATATTTGTAAGGACCAGGCGCCATGGCTCACACCTATAATCCTAGCACTCTGGAAGGCTGAGGCAGGTGGATTGCTTGAGCTCAGACATTTGAGACCAGCCTGAGCAAGAGCCAGACCCCATCTCTACTAAAAATAGAAAAAAAAAAAAATAGCAGAGCATTGTGGCAGGCACCTGAACTCTCAGCTACTCGGGAGGCAGAAGCAAGGGGATCACGTGAGCCCAAAAGTTTGAGGTTGCTGTGAGCTAGGCTGACGCCATGGCACTCTACCCAGCACGATAGAATGACACTCTATCTCAAAAATAAGAATAATAATTGGACAGCCTCTTTTGATGAAGTACTATGTGAGGCTTTAGAATAAGAAATTCTAAATTCACCTTAACTCACCGTGAGACTTCACGCCATGAGACGCTCCAGCCCTTTATGAGGGAGTTTGATTGAGGGCAAGGCACTTAGCCAACCACGTGATCAGAAGCTTTCTCATCTCCTCCCGTTGCCTCCCCCACTCCATCAGGTAGTGGAAGTCATCAATAGCACCACCACCAACTGCTACAACAACGAGACGGTGACTCCAGCCCCCACCATGGACTCACGCCTCTACATGCTCTCCTTCCTGCCCTTCCTGGTGCTGCTGGTCTTCATCCGCAACCTCAGGGTCATGACCATCTTCTCCATGCTGGCCAACATCAGCATGCTGGTCAGCCTGGTCATCATCGCCCAGTACATCGCCCAGGTGGGTCACACCACACACCTGGCTCCTCTGGAGCCCAGGGATTTTGTATCCACAATCAACCAGGCTCCAACCCCTCCCTTTCCGCTTAGTACCCACCTCACTGCAGCACCTCCTCCACAAGTGTGTCTCAGAACCATCTCCTTCTTCTGCGTATCTCCTTGTTCAGGTTGTTTTCCCAAATACCTACTTTTATGTCAAATTCTGAATTTAAAAAATATATACTTTTCAGGGAAAATATTTTGATTCGTGAACTATAAGATCATTCCTATAATGGCTGGCAAGCAGCAAAAGGCAGGTGCTTGTATTAATGCTAAAACTGAGTGAATTGACCATGGGACTCAAAGTTACTCCTAGGGAAGGCAAGAAGAAACAAAAAAAAATTATTATTTAGTCACAGCAGTATAAATAGAGAGTCTCAAAACCATAACCAAATCTCATATGTTAGATACAATATCTTGGAGGTCGAATTATGGGTATCGATTTTCCCTCAATTTCCTAATTTCCTATCCTGTCTCATTTTTCTGTTGAGTACTACATAGAAACTTAAACCCCAGAAACTCCTTGGCATACTCAATAATTTTTATATATACTTTTCTCTTTTTGAGAAGCCACAAAGGGGAAAAAATATTATTGTCTATGAAACTTAGTAAAAATAATAAATTAGTCAAACATGTTAGGGCAATTACAGCTCAGTCTTCTATTCCTTAGGAGGTACTGGAGATTCTACAAAATTGTATTTCCTAATGAGATCACTAACTCTGATTCATTCTTGGACCATTCCAGAGGTTGCTCAGTTAGAAAAATGGTTCTGTAATTACTTTCACATTCTTCCACACACTCTCCCCTTCTGCAATTTATAGCTCATTAAAGAAGAAAAGGGGGCTTTCATATTCATATTTGGGCTCCCTAGAATATTACTGTGTCCATTCAAAGTTGCTCTCGGGCACTTTAGGCCAGTACTAACCTGTGGTATGTAAGATTTTGCTCTGGAGAGTATTGATAAACCAAAATGCCCCTATAAGGTACCCTTTAGAGTTTCTCATTACCTTGATATTCCTATCCTCCAGTTCTTTGGTATCATGCAATGCTAAAATCATCCTTGATTATGGCCTACTTCCCTTTGATGTTTTCTAAACTACTTGATATCCAATTAAAAAAAAAAAAAATTCAGGTGGGGATTTGGCGCTTGCGCTCTGCTCGCTTGGTGCTGCTACTCCCTGGAAGCGGCTGTACTATGTCGGGTCATTTTGAAGAGCGCAGTGGGGTGGTTCCGTGCGGCACCCTGTGGGGTCAGTGGTACCAGACGTTGGAGGAGGTGTTCATTGAAGTTCAGGTGCCGCCAGGCACTCGCGCCCAGGACGTCCAGTGTGGGCTGCAGAGCAGGCATGTGGCGCTGGCCGTGGGTGGCCGCGAGGTTCTCAAGTGCAAACTTTTTGATTCTACAATAGCTGGTGAGGGAACTTGGACTTTGGAGGATAGAAAAATGGTTCGTATTGTTCTTACAAAGACAAAGAGAGATGCAGCAAATTGTTGGACTTCTCTCCTTGAATCTGAATATGCAGCTGATCCTTGGGTACAAGACCAAATGCTTACATTAGAGAAAGCTTACATTAGAGAGATTCCAGAAAGAAAATCCTGATTTTGACTTCAGTGGAGCAGAAATCTCAGGAAATTACACTAAAGGTGGACCAGATTTCTCAAACCTTGAGAAATGACCAGTGTTTTTTTGCTACATTCAGTGGATCTTAGTAGATATTGCCAACTTAATCATAGGAACAGGTTACATGGTGGAAGAAAAATGTGGATGCCTACAGTCAACAAATTGCAAAATACATTTTAAATGGTTCTAAAAATTGCATTCACGTATGATTTACGAAGGAAACATGTCCGGTGGGAATTATTGTATGGCTATATGGTAACTTTTTTTGGACTTGTTTTTGCTCAGCATGAAGTTTTTATATGCTGCCTTTGACTAATTTCGTATTTAACCATATTTTTAATACAAAATAATTTAGGGTAGATCATGTGAAATGAAAGGGTGCCTTCAGGTAATACTAAGTTTTCTTTTGATAAGTGTGGTGTTCAATAAAGTTTTCTAAATAGGAATTGTGTACCCCTTTGCCTAAGTATACCATTTCACACAGAGAAATTAGAGTACTGAAAAATATTAAGGAAGAAAAGGCCAGGTATGGTGGCTTATGTCTTTAATCCCAGCACTTTGGGAGACTAAGGCAGGAGAATCACTTGAGGCCAGGAGTTTGAGACAAGGCTAGACAACTTAGCAAGGCCCCCTCTGTACTAAAAAATTGCTGATGAATGGTGGCATGCCCCTGTAGTGCCAGCTATTCGGGAGGCTAGGGTGGGAGGATCACTTGAGCCCAGGGGTCAGAGGCTTTAGTGAGCTATCATCTAGCCACTTCATGCTATCCTGGGTGACAGACTGAGACCCTGTCTTTTTAAAAAAAAAAAAAAAATCCGCAAGTGTATTTTGAGCAAGTTCATTTTAAGGTTTATGAAAACTTAGTCAGAAAATTATTCCTTGATTAAGTGAAGAAATTCAAAAATATTTAAGTACCTAACTACAGGAATGGATTAATTTAGAAGAGAAACAGCTAAGTGAATACGGTTTTGTTAGTGGCAGAAAGCAAAATAAGTCAGTGATTGTAAGTCAGTGGCATTGTTTTGATCTTAAGTAGGAATTGTCTGCAGAAATTTCATTTCATCCTGTTTATGTCCTTTTAAATCCTTGAAGAAAAGTGTCAATCTCAAATTCATAAAGAAGTTAAAAGTTGTTTGTTTTTTTCTGAACCATTTGTAAGTTGATGTGATGCCCCATTGCTTCTGAGGACCTTCGTGTGTGTAGTTGCTTCAAAGAAGACTTACATACCTACAATCCAACCATTAAAATCAGAAAATTTACATTGACACTACCATGGAATCCTCAGACCTGTACTCCATTCGTATTGAACTGATCACCCCAACAGTGTCCTTTGTGCAGGAGAATCCAGTCAGAGTCATATTGTCCCTTTAGATGTCAGGGGTCTAGAACAAGTTCTCATTTTTTCCTTGCCCTCAACAACTTGGCACTTCAGTGTATTACAAGTTTTGTAAAACATCCCTTACTTGGAGTTTGTTTGATACTTCCTCATGATTAGATTCAAGTTATATAGCTTTAGCAAAAATGTTGTAGACATGATTTGTTCTTCACTGTATCCTATTGTGGATCAATACTTTCAGTTTACCCTATTTGTGATGGTGTTAGTCATTATTGGTCAGGGTAGTGTGTGCTAGACTGTTCCACTGTAAAGTTTCTCTTTTTATGTTTGTAATTATTTTGTGAGAATGTAGTTTCAAAATACTACCTTGCTTTTCATTAAAAAAAAAAAATTCATGTTTCCTCTCAGAGTATCCCTCTCTTAAAGGAGCTCAAATGTGACCAGGTACAGTGGCTCACCTGTAATCCTGTAATAGCCTGTAATTCCAGCAATCTAGGAGGCTGAGGCAGGAGGATCACTGGAAGCCAGGAGTTCAAAACCAACCTGAACTCAAGAGCAAGACTGTCTCTATTAAAAATAGAAAAATTAGCTGAGTATGGCAGTGCATGCCTATAGGCCCAAGTACTTGCGAGGCTGAGGCAGAAGATTCACTTGATCCCACGAGTTTGAGGTTACAGTGACCTGTAATGAGGCCATTATATCCCAGCCTGGGCCACAAAGTGAGACTCTGTCTCAAAAAAAGGGGGGAGGGGGGCGAGAGAAAAGAACTCAAATGTTTTTTGAAAGTGAACATTGCACTTTTCTCTCCTATAGGGTATTCCAGACCCTAGCCGGTTGCCGTTGGCAGCGAGCTGGAAGACCTACCCTCTCTTCTTTGGAACAGCCATTTTTTCATTTGAAAGCATTGGTGTGGTAAGCTTTGAATTGGGGAGGCCTTTCCTGGGTGCTGAAAAGAAGCTCTGGGTTTCTGTGTCCTATTGGCCATTGTGCTGGGCCTGCTGGAAAAGGTACTTGGGAAAAGTAACCTCTGGCTTCCCTTGGGTCAGTTGTCACCAGCAGGAGAAAAGTAACTTACATCAGAGAAGCAGTCAGGAGACAGTTTTATTTTTTGTCCCAATACATCTGTTAAACATTCATCCTCCTATCCCCATGAGTTTCCTAATCTTTTACAATTAGACCAACGATGGTATACAATTTGAATTAAAGGATTTGATTAAATGGAAGTTTTTTTTTTTTTTTTTTTTTT